TAATTCTACCCATAGCCAGGAGTTCGATCATGACTGGCTCAAGGTTGATTTGCCTTTTCATCCTTCCGAGATCAGTAAAATGAGAACCCAGATTATTGGAGGCAATATGCTGACTTATGTAAACTACTTAGAGCAGTGGTTCTCAACCTGTGGGTCGGGACCCCATTTGGGGTCGAACGACCATTTCACGGGGGTCGCCAAACAATGCAGTCCACCATTTTTTTCCCCTTTTCCTTAGCTGTGCTACTCCCTTTTATTCTATTGGCTTTTGAAAGCCAATAGAATAGACTCTCTTGAATAGAGTCTAATTCTATTGGCTTTCAAAAGCCAATAGGAATTGTCCAGGCTGTCTCTGCCCTGCTGAGCCTGCCAAAAGTCCCATTCTGCAAACGGTGCTGCACCAGTTGACTAGTCCTCGACTTACGACTGGTTGGGTGTTGTGGCATTAAAAAGGTTGAGAACCACTGACTTAGAGAGGGCTATAAACCACTGTGGAACAGTATATAAGTTTAAGTGCTATTGCTATTGCTTCACGCCCACAAGAGATCTAAGTCGCACCCACCTTGCATTCTGTTGACTCTTATCTACCGCCAATTGGCTTTAACCGTTAGTAGTTCAGATTCTTATAGAGAGTGTTAGCACAATACCGTATAATAAATGTACTGTTAGTACAAATGAACACAATAAATCTGTATTCATTTGAACTGCCTGGCTTCCTCATTTATTACACCTGACAAGCATTCACGTTAAGCTCACAAGTGTCAAAATTCAAACCAATAACAAATCTGTGTGAATAACTGTATAAAAATAACAATAAAATATGCCACTGCTGCGAGTCACCAGCTAAAATAGCCATCATTTTTTTTCTTAATCCTCTGCAGAATGAAGTGGTTATGTGCCCTGTTATTGTTGGATGGCTATTCAAGGAAAGTAGGTAAATTTGATAGCACTAAAATGTCTGTTGTGCTTGTGACTTCCCAACCCCCTTAAATTCAAGGGGAAAAAAAGATACAGTGCCTCCCCTGCTTCTGGTGGCCATGAATGGAGTGGTAAAAGAGGGTGAAGAATAACATCTCCCCTTAAAATATACTTGCACTGAGGAATCGTGCAGGGAACAGCTGATTATTTCATCCACAGCAGATGGTGAGGTATATTTTCGGAACCATGAAAAATTATTATCAGACAATTATGTTCCCCCACCCCTACATCTTTCACTGAAAAAGACAAATATCACTTTGTAAATATCACTACCAGATATTGCAAAGGAAAGAGATAAGGCAGTGCCTATGTTACAATGAATATGTGGATGGTGTTTATGTATTGTTTTGGAAATGAAACAGGGTTCCTGCAGGCTAGCTTTTATATCCTTCTACAGAATATTTAAGGGCATGCTTTCCCCCACTTTGAGTTCTGATGCCATGGACACTGTCTTAAATTTTTTTAAAGGTAAAAGGTTTTCCCTGTCCAGTTGTGTCCGACTCTAGGGGGCAGTACTTATCTCAGCTTCTTAGCCAAGGGAACCAGTGTTGTCCAAAGATACTTCTATGGTGTGGACAGCGTGGCTATACTCTGAAATGCACAGAACACTGTTATCTTCCCACCAGAGTGGTACCTATTTCTCTACTCGCATTTTCATGCTTTTGAACTGCTAGGTGGGCAGGAGCTGGAGCAAGGACAGGAGCTCACTCCATCACATAGTGCTTGGGTCTCAAACTATCAGTCTTCCAGTTGACAAGCTCAGCATCTTAATGGCTAGGCTGTGCCCCCTAACAATACTCAATTTGACATATGTGTCTGATGCAGAATACATGTTAAAAAGTTTGGCCTAAGGTAATACAAGGCTTGGGATTTTACATTGTACTAAAGGTTAGTTAACTGTGGTGGAATGTAGTCTGGATTCCCAGGAGGGAGGGGCTGCATTTCAGAGAACCAAGACAGAGCAAAGTTTAGACAGTTTGGCTGGGAGGAAGAGGGTCATCATTAAAGCTTTTCCCCAGAGATTTTCAGAGGCATCTCTAACAATGCAAGTAGCTACATTCATTTGGCAAAATTTCTCTCAATGGGGCAAAGAACAACAAATAAAACTGTCTTTCTGGTTTTTGTAGCCTGAAATTTATTCGTCCATCTGTTATTGAGCACAGCACAATTAGATAAGTTGTACGGCACCTGAGACAACAGTTTGGAAATGCCTGGAAGATTTGTGAACTCTGCCATTAAAACAAAAAGAAAAAAAAACTATCTTAGTAAATTAAATAGTTATGATTTTTTTTATGGTTCCACAGTTGTTGTTTTTTCAGTCTGCTTCAGAGATGGCCGTAATTTATTTACAAGATGTCAAAAGCCACATACAAACATACCTTTCCTAGGTATTACAATATTTTGAATGCTCCCAGTTCCAATTAACTTCAAAGTCAAGCAAAAGCAACTTTCAGCCTAGATAACTAGTTACCCTCCTCCTTCAAAGAACAAGACCTTGTAATACCTTCCACTGACAGAACGTGTTGCTCTCTTGAGGAAACCATCTATCTTCCTTCCACAATTATTTATGATGAGAAGAAAGCCGAAATAATAAAACACTAAAACAACAAACAGACCCACGATTGATTTTAAATACCACAGGTTCAGAAAGGATAGGTTAGTAATTACTACTCTCCAGCTTCCATGATTTTTATAGCTTTGATTTTTTTTTTAATGTGATCAGCTTTGATGCATGAATTGCAAACAGACACCCTAAATTTGAAAGATAACAGAAAATGCCAAGATTGGAAACACATTTGTTAGTTATTTCGTGAGTACAAAGATGTATATGCTTGGAGGAGAACATTTGCTCTATTTTTTTTTTCTTGGCTGCTTTAAAAGGAAAAAAGGAAGGGGAGGAAGATGTTAGAAAAATGCTTGGGAATATTTTTTTTTTTTTTTTTGTATTCATTGGTTGCTCAGTGACATACATGGTGTAGGAGATGATCAAAAGAGCCTGAGGGAGAGGTCAAACACATCATCAGTCATGAGTCCCTGTGCATCCACAAGAGATTCTGAATCCAGCCCACTTGGAATTTCTTTCTTATCTCCCACTCATTTCCCTTGACTGCTAGTAGTTCAGATTCTTGTAGAGACCTTAAGATTGCAGTAAATCTTTATACTCATTTGAACTGCCAGAATCTCCTGATTTCCCCAACATATAGTCTAGCCCAGGGGTCTTCATACTGGCCCTTTTATGACTTGTGGACTTCAACTCCCAGAATTCCTCAGCCAGGCACGCTGGCTGAGGAATTCTGGGAATTGAAGTCCACAAGTCATAAAAGGGCCAAGTTTGAAGACTCGTGGTCTAGCCTATCGGCTGCAGGTTAACTCAGCTCAACTTGGTGTACAAAACCAATGTCTTTCTTAAGCCAGCTTGTTTCCAAACTGATGTATCCATCGGCATTTGAAAATTACCCCTAGTTGGAACACAAAGACTCAATTTCCTAGCTCTATTAAAGGGGCTACCAAGAAAAGCTCAAGAGAAATGATTAATGGTAAGGTAAGAAGAAATCCTTAGCCTAATCATCCTTGTCATCCTCATTGTTATCTCAGAATAACAAAATGACAGAGTTGGAAAGGGACCTTGGAGGTCTTCTAGTCCAACCCCCTGCTCAAACAGGAAAACCCTTAAATCTCAAAACATTTCACAAATATTTAAACATTTCCTATTTGGAATGGGCAGCAATGAAACTTGGTCTATTCCACACAAGTAGATCCTCCTTCAGTAACCACAGAAAAACTGAATCAGACCTAAATCTTACTGATCACAACAGGGGCAGGCAACCTTTTAGAGACTGACACTCAATATTGTGTGTGTGTGTGTGAGAGAGAGAGAGAGGGGGGGGGATTGAGGGAGAGAGATTGAGAGAGAGAGAGAGAGAATTATTGGTGGAACAATATGGAAAAATAAGTAGAGCTTTTTTCATGTGCTTGGTTGATAGCAGGACTTTCTGCATGTTTCTGGATTTGTAGAAAATCTTGAAGGGAGGGCCCAGTTTGTTGGGGGCAACATGCTCTGTAAACCACTTAGAGAGTGCTGTAAAGCACTATGAAGTGGTATATAAGTCCAAGTGCTATTGCTAGTGCTATCCAGGGTTTAAACTTCTATGTTGAGCCGCACTATGATGTTCATGGGTGTGGTAACAGAAACTAATGGGAACCTCCACTGCTAATGTTCTGGAAGTCGAGGTAACCCAAGGATATAAAATGGAGGTTGAGGAATGCATGTAACTATGAGACCTTTGGTAACTCAGCTCTAATCTAGAAAAATGGTTGGGGATCCTAAGCCCATAGGACAAAGGATAGCTAGTTTCACAACACTACAGTGAATACTTCTTTTACAGCAAGGGGCTTGTGGATAACAGCCATGGGGACATCACAGTAATGTAGTTGAGCTAGGACCTTAAATTTCAGCCTCCCCTTTTTTTGTCCACTGTGAAATATCTGGAGTTCAAACTGTTGTGATAGATTTAGTTTTGCTTATCTACTTCTTGGCTCCCCAATGGTGGGAAATTATCCCTGAACTCTGATTTTTGGGTTGCTCTGGAGTCAAAAAAAAATAATAATAATAATTCTAAGACCATCTACAGCGGGGTGTCAAACTGCAGCATGTGTCACACAGAAGCCAAGCCCACCTCAGCTCCAGCAAGGGGAAAAAAGTCGCCATGCGCTGCAACACGTATTGCGGGGAGGTTGACACCACGGCCTGAAGGGCAACTACTCATCTGGTCACAAGATTGCTATGTTTTTCAGACTGCTACAAAAGGAGAACATCAACTACTCTGAATTCTACAAAGGGACATTAATTTCCCAGAGCTGCTGCAGCAGCAGCTGGAGCACTAAATGCCATAGGCGCGTTTGATCTTTATTTGAAGGTTCCTTGTCATATTCCAGAGTGTGACACCTTCTTGGATTGTGCATCTGAAGTCTTCGCTCCAGAGTGGAGCTGACCAGTGCAAGCGTCTCCCACAAAGCCTTACCTTGCACAATGAGATGGACCCGCGAGGTTTTGGGGTGATTGTCCGTCTGTACTGAGCAAGTATAAGGTCCCTCGTCATACACATCCACGTCATTTATCCGGATGGCATAATGGGTTTTGGTGTTGGCAATAAGCTCCACTCGGGGGTCCAAACACCACTTGTCATTGCCCGCATAAAGAATACTGCTGCGGTTCAGCCAAGCTACCCGCGTCACTCGATTATCCACAATGCATCTGAAAAAGAAAGAAGCAGAGAGAGGGAGGCAGGGATTAGAATCTATAAAGGAGACTTCTAAAGGTAGCCTGATTCCCAAGCTTTCCATCCCTTTTCTCCCCTTTCCTCATTTCGAAGTTCTGAGGTGAGCAACAGTTATCCGAAAGAACATAGACCAGCATTTTAGCTAGATCTAATGGCTGTATTCAAGATAAAGGTAATCCTCGAATTACGATCACAATTGGGCAAGGTATTTTTTTTTTCCACAATGTGTTTTTACTGCTTTTAAGCCATCTAGAGCAGGGGTTCTCAACCTGTGGGTCGGGACCCCATTTGGGGTCGAACGACCATTTCACGGGGGTCGCCAAACAACGCAGTCCGCCATTTTCCCGCCTTTTCCTTAGCTGTGCTACTCCCTTTTATTTTATTGGCTTTTGAAAGCCAATAGAATAGACTCTCTTGAATAGAGTCTAATTCTATTGGCTTTCAAAAGCCAATAGGAATTGTCCAGGCTGTCTCTGCCCTGCTGAGCCCACCAAAAGTCCCATTCTGCAACGGTGTTGCACCAGTTGAGTAGTCCTCAACTTACGACCGGTTGAGTAGTCCTCGACTTACGACCAGTTAGGGGTCGCGGCATTAAAAAGGTTGAGAACCACTGATCTAGAGTCACTGTGAATGAGTAGGTGGCAATATAAATTTAATAAACAAACAAATAAATTCTGTGGGTCCCATCAGCCAAGGGACGTCAGCTGGTGGGAATCAGGAGATCATAGCCCCCGCCTTCTAGAACATTCTACATTTAGGTATTAGAATGGTCCAACCCTGTTGCCCTTTCACGAGGCTGTGAGGACTTGGTTGTGCGTTGGGGTCTGCGTCCCTGAATATGTTTAGGGCCTGGTTTCTTGGTTGTATTAACATCCATAGTAACAGCTTTATTTGGTGCCCTATTTTGTACTGTTTTAATTGTCCTTAAATTATTTTTATGTGTTATGATGTAACAACACCCAGAGTCACTTGTTGACATGGGCGACTACAGAAATCAAACCAAAATAAACGGAATGATCTGTTTCACTGAATTGGCAGCCTGTTGATCCTTTTACAATTTTTCACCTTGCCAAGTTGCACATGAGACACGTGCCTGGTCGGGGGGAGAGTTTAACAGGATGACTTTTGCTGGATCCTTCCCAACTGTGTCATCGAAGAGGTAGGAGGATTAGGCCGTGCAGAAAAATATAAAGAAAAGAAAAGGCACCTTGGCTGTTTTCACCTATTTTCAATTAGCTCTGACTTCCTCAAACACTGAGATGTTTCCATGCCATATACTCAAATTAGTTCGAGCTCACAGTTCCACCCACATACCTCAGGGAGAAATGTCATTGAACCTTGTGGGTTGTGTGTCACAATCCTCAACTGATGCATAAGCAAAAGTGGCAATTACTTCCCCAGAATGCTGCAAAGACAGTTTCCAACCACTCAACATTAACCTATATATTGCACAGACTACAACATTAAATCCAGCCAATTACTTAGACCAGGTGAAGGCAACCTTGGCTCTTTTATGACTCATGGACTTCAACTCCCAGAATTCCTGAGCCAGCCATGCTGAGGGGAAAGGGAGAGGTTTCCAAGCTTCCACTTACGACCACAACTGAGCCAAGAATTGATGTTGCTAAGTGAGACATTTGTTGAGTTTTATCCCATTGTACAACCTTCCTTGCCTCAGTTGTTAAGTGGATCACTGCCCTTGTTAACTTAGTATCAGGGTTGTTAAGTGAAACTGGCTTCCCCATGGACTTTGCTTGTCAGGAGGTTGCAAACTTAACACGGTCACTAAATAAAATTTAAGAACAGACTGGACAGCCATTTGTCTGAAATGATGTAGGGTTTCCTGCCTGAGCAGGGGGTTGGACTAGGTGACCTCCAAGGTCTCTTCCAACTTTATTATTATTATTATTATTGTTGTTGTTGTTGTTGTTGCTGCTGCTGCTGCTACTGCTACTACTACTACTACTACTATTACTACTACTACTATTGTAAGTTGAGGATTACCTGTGCAAAAGAAAGGGGGGAAAAAGATTTTAAAAACCCCAATGTTGAAAATATCTGGGTGCTGAAAGATTAAAAAAAAAACCTAATAGGTTCTCCTCCCCTTACATAACATATCTACAGATAATTACAAGCTTTCCCATCCTTATTTGACAAAAACAGCACATTAAATAAATATTCCAGCTGAGAGAATCTATCGTAATGTATATGCAGAAAAAAAGAAAAAACAACAACTACATTTAACAGGTTAGCTGAACCATTACACCAATCTTCACATCCTTCTGTTAACCATCTGTTATTGTATTATTATCTGCAATGATCTGTTTTAAATCCAAACACAGAGATAGTATATCAATGCAGGTCCACGGGCCACAATTCCACTTCAACCCATCTGCCTCCCAAGTTCTCAGATTTGAAGTTTTACCTTCCAAATTCAAGGTGCCACTGGGCATATCTGCAAATGCAAAGAATTTGCTACACACTTTTTTTTTAATGCACTGTAAGCAACCAAGATTCAAAGAGGAAGCCACATATGGGAATATGCATAAATATTGCATTGTGTCATTTCCCTTTCCTGCGTGTCATCTACGCCAGGGCTTTTCAACCAGTGGTACGGGTACCAGCTGTGGTACATTGGCACCTGGCAGGTGGTACGTGACCATTCTAGAAAAGTGGTAGTGGGGAAGGGGAATGAGCTGAACCAGTGGCAGCACCGCACAAGCCTGAGTGAGAGATGGCTGGAGCTTCAGGGCTGTCAGGACTCAGAGGAAGCGCCAAGATCAGCACCAGGCTCCAGCTGGAGCTCGGTGCTGATCTTGGCACTTCTACTAAGCCCTGAAGAAGCACCAATCAGCTGGAAAGTAGCACTGATCCTGGCACTTCTGCTGAGCCCAGAAGAAGCGCCAATCAGCTGGAATGTTGCAGCACCTCCAGGGTCTTGTGATTTACATTCAAATGTTTGGCAACTGATTCATATTTATGATGGTCACAGTGTCCCAGGGTCATGTGAAGTGACCAAAACCTGCTGCAACCACCCAACAGATGGGGGGAATAAAAACCAAACATCCACCCTCCACCCCCACTGCCAATCCTCAACAGAAATGCTCACAACAATGGAAACCTCAGACAGGAGGAAGAGCGCCACCAGGTGGGCAGGCAGGTGTCTTGCTCTGTTGTGGCTCGGGGGCACTTTTTTCAATGCCCTTGTAACTTCAAACAGTCACTAAGTGAACTGTTGTAAGTCAAGGACTACCTGTACTTTATCACTTTTTTTGGGGGGGGTCATCAGGTTTTTCACACCTTGCTGGTGGTACTCAGATGTTGCCATATCCTAAAAGTGGTGCAATGGGTGAAAAGGTTGAAAAGCCCTGATCTACGCACTTTGTATTCTTGTTTCATAGATGAGCCTTTTAAGTCAGATAAGTAACAGAATAACAGAGCTGGAAGGGACCTTTGAGGTCTTCTAGTCCAACCCCCTGCTCAGGCAGGAAACTATTTCAGATAATGGTTGTCTCATCTTTTCTTAAAAACCTCTTAAGCACCCGCAAGTTCTGGAGGCAAGTTGTTCCACTGGTTAATTGTTCTCACTGTCAAGAAATTTCTCCTTAGTTCTAGTTTGGTTCTCTCCTTGATTAATTTCCACCCATTGCTTCTTGTCCTGCTTTCAGGTGCTTTGGAGAACAGGTTGACTCCCTCTTCTTTGTGGCAGCCCCTCAAATATTGGAACATTGCTATCATGTCACCTCCTAGTTCTTCTTTTCATGAGACTAGACATACCCAATTCTCGAAACCGTTCCTTATATGTTTTAGCCTCCAGTCCCCTAATCATTTCTGTTGCTCTTCTCTGTACTCTTTCTAGAGTCTGAACATCCTTTTTTACATCGTGGTGACCAAAACTGGATGCAGTATTCCAAGTGTGGCCTTACCAAGGCATTATAAAGTGGCATTCATGTCATTTATTTCACTCATTTTTGGATTTTCTATGTGGTCTTCAGTTCAAAACTTGAATTCTATTATTAAGCAGAGGTTGCAAAGCCTCATTTGGAGAGCAAAAATCTCCCAGCAAATGCATTATCTTACATATTTTTAAGGTTTAAAACATGCTTCACATTTAACAACCTGTGTAACTCGATAGAAAGACTATGTTAAAAGAGCAACAGTAGGAGATAACATCCACGAGGCCTAAGATGGAGACTGAATTTTGTTCACAATATTCAATTATTTTTTGGGGATGGAGGCTTATGATGGAAATGTAAACTGATTTTGGAGTTATTCACAGATGGATAATGGAATATTAGATAGATGTCACCCAACTCAACAGAGTTAATGGTCTGCAAGTCAGATTGAGAAAGCCAGTGAACCAAGTCTACTTCCTCCATATTGAAAAAGAGCACAGCAACCTTTTCAAGAAGTTACACAGAAACACTTAATTGTGACTCAAGCTGGCATGATTCATTCCTTTCAAAGGGGCCTTACTGTCTATAGGGCAGCTATTTGGTAAGGAGCACACTACTTAATCTGTCTCCCCTTCCCTTCCTACATCCTCCTTCCCTCCCTCTCTCTCTGTCTCTTTATCTAGCTAGCTATCCAGATAGTCCACAACTTACAATACTTCATTTAGTGACCATCTGCAGTTATAATGGCACTGAAAAAAATAATCTATGAATGTTTTTCACACTTATAACCGTAGCAGAAACCCCATGATCGTGTAATCAAAATTCAGCAACTTGGGCAGCTGACTCATATTTATGACGGATACAGCCTTCCGGGGTCATGTGATCCCCTTTTGCAACCTTCTGGCAAGCAAAGTCAACGGGCAAGCCAGACTCACTTAACAACCGTGTTACTAATTTAACCACTGCAGTGATTCCCTTAGCAACTGTGGCCAGAAAGGTCATCAAATGGGCAAAACTCACTTAACAAATTGGCCCAAAGTCACCAATCGGCTTTAATGGCTAAGGTAGGGTTAGAGGTC